CCACCTGTTAATCGTTTGCCTTTGTCCTTCCTACAGTCGGAACAGACAGTGAATTTGCTCTTTGTGCAGTCTTTTGATCAAGGTTTGTATTTACAGGTCACTTCAACCATTTAAGCAAAGATAGTATCTGCAGGCAGCTTTTTTCCCTACTTCGAAATATCCAGAAGCTGCACACACAGCTAACGGCTTTACTCACTCCAGAAGCTTCAAACGAGCTTCCTCATAGAGGGGAACCCAGCTTCTGCGTTCCCTACAGCCGAAGCACAGGGAGGTGGGAGATCTTGCTCCGCTGCACTGTATGACCACGTCAAATCAGCTTGACTCAGGCTAACCCTGTGCTGGTAGTACGTGGACACAGGACCAAAAGCCTGCAGAGAGGAAAAAGAAGGAATTCTGCTAGCAGAAATCTTGTACAAATGTTGGCCTTCCTTCACTTTCAAGCACCTAAATTCTGCAAGCTCAACAATCTGTTAACATCATGCTTATATGGAAATTGTTTTTAAAAGGGAATTAAAAAATATAAATAATTAATAATTTTATGAATAGAAATAATTTAACTGGTAATTTATAAAGTAAGATAACAAGCTATTTTCCAACTGGCTACTTCTAAATCCAGCCCAATTTGTTCTAGCAACCTTTATGTAACGAGCATGTGTTTGACATATTTGATATATGCCAGCTATTAATATCCCTATGGGTAGGTTATGAATTCTAGGTTTCTTATATTGAAATGCCAACATAAATTTAACTGGGAAAAAAATCTCTTGTCTCTCCACTTTTTTGTTGCAAAACAAAGTGGTCCGGATTTTAAAGCAAATTTTAAAGCATTTTTAAAGCATTTAAAGCATTTTAAAGCATTTTTGCTCAGAAAGGACAAAAGGAAATTTTATTTCAGTTAATTTAAGTATAAAATAATCACAGCTAAATGGAACACTAAATTTCTCTCTCGTGAAAAAATGTCATATTTAATTTTTTTTTGGTCCCAGCTCAGGGTCACAAATTTAAAAATCAGTTTTTCCAAAAAAAGTCTGAGACTTTTTTGAAGCTGAATTTGACGTACAAATCAAAGGGAACTCTTGACCAGCTCTAAAAGCTATGAAAATGCTGGATGCTCAAAGAAATGAAGGAAAGTGCCATTTTATGATACTTAGAGCAGAACCTGGGGACTTGGCTCTTCTCCACAGCACAAACAGGGCAGAGCTGTGCAATCGGTGTATACTTCAGTTTTTGCTAACAAGGCCACTTAACCTCTACACCCTCTGTGGATGCAGAGCTATAGCCCCAGCCAAAGCAGAGTGATTCGGCTGAGTGTCATGGCTGGGCGAGAACGTGGAAAAGTTGCATGTCAGATCTCTGACGCAAGTCTTACTGGTCAATGGCTGCTTGTGTGCGGGACAAAGAAGGGTCAGGAGTGCCTCAGGTTCTACCACTTTGCTGACACATATATATGACCCCATAGAGGAAGAATACCTAAGCCGAGTGTTTATTCTTGTTCATATCACTGGACATTTTCAATGTCCTTGCCCAGAAATTGCTTGTTAATATTTTCTCCGATATTTTTACTTACGCAGTAATTAGGGTGTGATCCTGTTTCAGTTGAACTGATTAGCAGGTTTGTTAAATAAATCGAACTGCTATGTTCTCTTGGAAAATCAGCGTGTGCTTTGGTAAACAAGCAGAAGCAGGTGGCATAATTCTGCCACAGTAGGTATTATATTAAAGGATACACTGCAGTCAACAGCATGATTTTGGCAGACTAAAGAGAAAAGTGCTTCCACATGTGAAGTTGTAAGTTTTCTATTATCTTATGATGCTGTGTTAAAGTAACAGCTGTGTCTCATTTTCTCTTAGGTAGGTGTGGTTTTTCTCTTTTGTATGAGTCATGCCTAATTTTTTGTCTGCACAGCCTTTCATATGCATTTGTTTCAGTAGGAAAACACTGTCACGATTTCTTGAGAAGTTCACATTTTTATCAGAAGAGCCTGATTTTGTATTTTAATTAATTTTTTCCCCCAATTAACTAGGGCGAAGTTGGGGACAAAGGAATCGCAGGGGAAAATGGACCGAAAGGTTATAGCGGAAGAATGGCAAGTACCTTACCATAGATCGTTCTTTTCTGGATTGTTTTTTTTTAATAGACTCCTTTTTGATGCGCTGATTGCACACTTGTATTGATTTTAAATGTTATATTTTTGATTTTCAAAGGCTGCTAATCTTGCCCACGCCCTGTCTCTGCGCACATCGCACTAATCAGAAGCCCTAACCATTTCTCAATGTTCTGTCTACCCTTCCAGATCACTTTTCTTTTGAGCCTTTTAGATAAAAAACTACATTAGAGGGAATTTGCTGTTTTGAGAGTTGTGACGATCCCCAGTTATACCCCATTTAATTTTTTTTGTCTTAATTTCCCCGGGTTCTTGTATGTTTCTTCCTTTTTTCTCCAGCTTTCCACGGCTGCGTATTAACTGCGGATCTCCTTTGCTGTGACAGGGATCAGTGAGGGCCGGCTGCTCCCTACGGGAAGGAGAGCTGGGAGCTGAGGGTGGTAACAAGCCGGGCTGGGCAGTGCTGTCACCAAGAAGGGCCTGTCCCACTGCCTCCGCAGCCTCCAGCCGTGAGCTTCAGACACCTCTGTGGGGCTGGGGCTGGGGCTGGGCTGAGCAGTTGGCCCAGGGGTTGGGGTCTGGAGCAGGTCTAGTTACAGGGCCTGACATGGCCCCACGATGGCTGGGCAACTCTGTGGTGACACGGCCAGGCCGAGGCCAGGCCGAGCAGAGGGTGTGTGGATCAGAGTCAGGATCACCAGGGTCTGTGGCCAGGCAGGGGCCACGATGTGGTGGGGCTGCCTGGGAGCCTTTCCCCATGGTGCCAGCAGGAAGGGGGCAGCCCATAGCTGTGCTGGCTCTGAGCTGGCCCTGAGCCCCAGTACCAAAGCCCCCGTGGGGGATGCACTCAGGGCATCGACATGCTGTCCAATGGGCTTTCTAGTGGGTCTTGTCAGCTCTGCGGCAGGTGGAAAAACTACCACACAACAAACACCATGTGAGAAGACCTTAAAATCATCTAGTGGCATGGCCTTGGGTAGATGGGATTTTGCTTCCCAATGTCACTTGGAACTTTTCCTCCACCTATGTGTGTGTATATTTATATATCTATATCAAGGATACCCATATGTGGATCTTTGTGATTAAGAGGTCTCTTAAATATTTACCTGTAAATACTTTCCGAAACAGAAATGCTTGGTCTACAACACTCGGCTCAGAACACTAGCAAACCGATATTTCTCTCTTCTAACGCTTTTCTTTGCTTGAGGGCTTCAAAGAACTTAACAAGCATCAATGACTCTATCACAACTATTCTGTTGACAAAAGCAGGCAGGGCAAGGATTGCTGGTGTTGTTTGGCCAGAAAGGCAATAAAGGTAGAAAGGAGGTAGACATGGCATGTACTATTTTTATTTTGAGGAATGTATTTCTAAATGGGTTTTGAACTGATTGGATGAGTAATATGCTTGACAAAAATGAGCCGAAACATTAGAATAAAATTGGTAGTATGATGCTCTCCAGGTTGCTCTTCGCTTTTAAAAATGAAAATGATGTCAGACCTGATGCTCTTCTTTTCTAATTCTCATTTATGCACAAGACAATGGAACTTAAGCATTTAGCAAGTAAATGAAGAGGGAAGGATGTCACTTCATTTCCAGCAGAAAATGTAAATTTCCTATCTGCTGTCTATGTTCTTTGAGTACTATGTATGTGACATATGCCAATATTTGTAGGGGATTTCGGGACCTGCTGGACCAATAGGCAATCCCGGAGAGCATGGATTTCCAGGACGCAGGGTAAGACCTATACTCTTTATATTCGGCAAGTCCTTTAAAATACATTCTTTTATGTTCAAGCATTTCAGGGTTTGCCTTGTTTGGAGTTTTTGGTGTCATTTCTGTCAAATAAGCACAATAATGAAGAGCTCATCTTTTTTTTTTTTTGCCTTCCTAATCTCTGCAATGCCAATGGAGTAAAATAAAGCAAAAACTTACGTTTGCCCACAAACTAAACAGATGTAACTTTGACCAGAATGACAGCACAGGTTTGCTGGGTAAAGTGCCATTATTCTGGCTACCTTATAGAAATGAATTTTCCAGTGAAAGTATTCTCCCTACTCAAAAATGGGGGAAAATTGGTTTGTCAAAAATTATCAAATGTGTAATGATATACTGTGAACAGCTTGGAGCTTCAGAAGAAGATGATAGTTGTAATTAGTTACAACAGCCATGTACAAAATTTCCTTAAAATATTAGAAATCCAGAATTGTAAAGAAAAATACTGATCTCTTCTTGCCCTGGCTGAAATAAAAACATACACAGATAATAGGTAGTGGAAACCTTCTGTTCTACAGTAAAGGCTTTTGATAATCCCAAATCCTGGCAGACATTATACAAAAAATACAAAATGTGTAATGCAATCAGCCATTGTTTGCTGCAGCTGTCTAATTCTGTGTATTCTTTTTTCCTGTGATTGGAAAAATAGCTAAGCAATTAGGTGAGATGAAGATAACAATGTATTATTATAGCCTGGTTTTTTTTTTTTTTCTTTTTCAGGGGAGTAAAGGATTGAAGGGGCAAGCCTTATATTCTGTATGTATCCCTAGCATACTCTGTGTTACAAACGTGCACAATGCACCGTTTCATCTCATAGTGATGTGCTTATTTATGTCTTCATTTTGTTCTTGTGCTACAGCCATGTGAACTCATTGACTATGTTCGCAGACACAGCCGTAAGCATTTAATCTTGTTCTGATATTGTAAGCCTAATTGTCAGCCCTGACTTATTAATACCATGTTAGTTCTGTGTTCAGTGCTACTTTGCATGTCTGGTCTTAGCAGGCAGATGCTTGAAAAGCAATGTTAGGGCTCGGTATGCAAAAACCTTAATTTTGTTCAGAATAACTCCTTTTCTCAAAGCTACTGTAATAACATTTGTTAGCCTGTAACTATGAAATAAGTTTACTAGATTTTTTTCCTGTTCTTTCTGTCCTAATGCCTTGGAAAATGACAATGCCAAATGATGGGAGTTTTATACCTCTGAATATCTCTGAATTCTGGTGGAAACCTTGTGAGAATGTTCAGTTTAGAGGAGGGCCAAGTCTTGCTTGTCCTTTGTACTCCATTCTCCAGTAAAACCCAAAAGAGTTTAAGGTGCACATGCAGTGTAAGACCCTAATGCATGCACTGAAAGTCACTGAAAGCCTTAAGGTCTTTAGAGCTGGGGGAAACTGAATTCCGTGCAAGTTCCACCAGTGGCTTCAGGGACACCAGCCTCTCATCTTCTATTTTTAAACCTATTCACATGCAAAATTTTTCAATTAAACTTCCTTTTTCTCTTTCTTAGGTTGCTGGGATGGTGAGTGCTACTTACTCCTTTGTTATTGTTAGTGAATAGATAGAATGGTGATGTTCATCAGTAAAACTGACCTAGCAGAGATCTCATAAGCTGTGAACTATGGCTTTGTAGTTTTAGGTTCCCCTCAACCAACCAAACTTACTTAAGCCATATGATTCTGAGTTGTTTGTTCACTTCACAGGGATTAAATATTATGTTGAGAGTTGGATATATGCTGTACTGTTGCTTTAGTTCGTTATTTCATGTGTAGGATGAGATTTATCCCCTCTTAATTTAGCTGTCTAAAATGCAGGTGTCTGGCCACTGAATGCTCCCTCTGCAGCTAGTGCAAGCACCTCCATCTCTCTCCACTGGTGAATGAGTGAGGCTAGAATAAACACGTCAGGATTCATAGTTGTGGAAGGTGCTGTGAAACCCATTCTTAATCAAAACAATCATATGTTGTTTGGCGATGGCTAGCATAGCTTCAAAAATCACAGCTCTGTGATTAGCTATACTGACCCTAAGCAATCTAGGGCTTCACAGTTTCTATTATTAGACTGAATAGATTGTATAGATTGTATAGATTGAATACCCTAAGGTATGCACATTATAACATAGACATTTCTCCTGCTATATATGTATATATGCGTGTTCCTGCCATCTGGATAAGTTCTGGTTATTCCAATTTTGCAGATTGAGCAACATGACATAGAAATGCTAAGTCTAGGGTCTGTGAGGAACAGAGGGTTAAAGTCTCTGAAGTCTTAGCATGGATCCACTGTGTCATGCTGCACATCAACTTCCTTCCTCCTCCAAAAAGAAATGTTTCTTTTCCTTCCCTTTTTTTTTTTTTTTTTTAACATTTTCAACATTGTCCTATCCCTTTACCTTGCTGCTCTGAAAGATTTCTCTTCCTAAAAACTCAGCTAGGTTGTTTTACTGCTTTGAGTTTCAAAATAAAGGCAAACCCTTTTTGTCCAAGGTCAGCTATGGTGTTTACCTGACCTGCATTGCCCCTATGATCCTAATTTCTGCCCCTGCAGAGTGGGTACAACACCAAGCAGTTGAAGATTCTTCCCCCAGTAACATGGTTCTTGACCTGTATGTCCATATTTCATAGCCGAGTGCTTGCTGGAACATATTTAGATGGCACAATATATTGCAAACCAAGTTGTGGCCTAAGTGACAATATTCTGCAGTAATATTTGTCTACTCTAATACCCAGTACTGCTCATTAATTGGCAAGAATGTATGAAGTAGTATAAAGTAAAATTTCCTCACCTTAAGGCCGTGCCCTTAAGCTAGCTTTAGAGAAGCCTCTGCTGTAAAAAGAAACTCTGATGATTCATCCCGCTGGATGAACCTCACAGCTGGCACACTTGTCACCATTTCAGACTCCTGTAAGTAGGAGGAACTGAACTGAAAAAGAGCAAAACTCAATACAGTTCCCGCCAATCTTTTACGTAACACAGATTTCTATTTGCAGTAAAGGTTCACAGGCCTTCTTAGTGCCCCATCTCATTTTGTTTCAGTATCATTTGATATTTGGAAATACCAAAATAATGTAAGTTCCTCCTTTGTAATTTTTCCCTGATAATCTATGTTGTGGTGTTTGGTTCCCATGCATATTCTGTCTATTTTGCTGCTTCGTACCTGTGCATGAGAGACATAGCCAGCGTTAGCCTTCTCTGACTCTTCTTAAGTCTAACTGTCTTGCAACTTTGCAGTCTAATTTTATTCCTTGTCTTTTCCCTTTTGTGTTCTTAACTCTTAATCCTCTTTTGTGTTCTTAACTCTACCAGTTCTTCCACTGCGTTATGCTCAGTTGCCAAGTCATTTTACCACACCTGTTAATTTAAAGCTTTCTCCTCTTTGTTTGTTCTGATCTCAATATTATTCTCCTCTGTGATTTTTTTTTTTTTTTTTTGCTTCCTAACTGTCCTTTTCCCTTATGGCTCAATATCCCTGAGTACTTGATGTGTTCTCTTCCCAAAATATTTCTGATGCCAGTTATGCATAGGAAATGATACTGGAATTTTCATCCATCCTGCCCTGAGCTTGGCTAGAATGTTGAGTCAGTCATCTCCTCCCCTGATGGTTGCTAGATAAAATGTTCTAGTTAATATTGTAGTTACGTTCCCTGCTGCAGTCTGCGATTTTCAAATTAAATTTTCTTCAGTGCTCCAGTAGGTTATTTTATTCAACACAGTTTCTGCTTTTGGTCATAATATTGTGGCTGGAGTAACTGTAAGCCAAAATGTATTTCATTCTAGAAGTGTCACATGCATTATCAGATCTTAATGGTATGCCTAAGAATGATGTAGTAATAATAGCATGAAATCAGTAGCATCTGAGCAGCGCAACAGTACTTGAGTTCATGTTGGCCCATGCTGTGCCCAACAGGGGCTTTAAGAGGGAATACTGTGTACAGGTGATACAGGACACTAGCCTGCAAACTGCTGCAGGTGGTCACAAGCTTGCTCTGAGCGCATTAGCTTAGGTTCTGCCTCCACAGGTGCAGACGTGCCCAGCCAGGGGGCCCTGGACTGCAGCCAATTCGCATCCTGCTAGCTCCAAATGCAGATGCAGATGGAGCTAGTCAGAATTTGAACAAAACTGAAGATCATGTCCTACTCCTGGCACTGTTCTTGTCCTACTTGGGTGATGCTGGAAAAGCTATTTCCACACTCTGCGCTGCACCTTACCCCATCTGAAAAATAGGGCTAACATAATTTAGCACTATTTTTCAAATATATTTGTAAAACCTCCTCATAAGAACATGGAATGTGCATTTTTCTGTGCCTACTTTCAGTATAAATTTGGGCATATTTTTATCTGCCCCCTGGTTTCCTTTGTGCACTCATGAGGTGCAAGATGTTGTTTAGCATTATGTCATTTTATGTACGGCTTTTATATGCATTACTCTCCATATCTGAGATGCAAGGGAAATAAATAATTTACTAACTTGGGTTTTTTTTTTAATTATTTTCCTAGGAAAAATGAAGTGCCCACTATATCCAACAGAACTGGTGTTTGCCTTAGACATCTCTAGGACTGTCACCCCTGAGATATTTGAACGAATGAGAGAGATTGTAATAGCAATAGTGAATCAGGCCAGAATCAGAGACAGCAACTGCCCAGTGGGAGCCAGAGTCGCTGTCATTTCCTACAACTTGGATACCCACTACCTGATCCGCTTCTCAGAGTTTCGCAACAAGAATAAGCTTCTCAATGCACTAAAAAATATTCCTTATCAGAGATCTGCGGTTGAACGGGATGTTGGCAGTGCAATGAGTTTCATTGCCAAGAATGTTTTCAAAAGAACTCTCCAAGGTCCTAATGTAAGAAAAATAGCTGTGGTTTTTAGCCATGGGCCAGCTGAAAACGCGTCTTCTGTTAAACAAGCTGTCCTGGAGATGAGTGCAGTGGAAGTCATTCCGGTAGTTTTTGCTTTTGAAGACACACCCCATATTTCTCAGGCTTTCCTGGTAAGAAATTTACTAAGCTTTTCTTCTTTGTGCTCAGTAGAGTTAGTTTAAAACAAGAAACCTTAAACATATTAGGTCATACTTATCCCATATGTAACACTGTTAAGCATAGTGACACATCTGTATCAAACTTGGATCCAAATTCTGCCAACCACCATCTGTCAGTTAATCTTCAGTGATGCTAATGAAAGCTGTGGAAATACTGGAGATTTCGTAAGAATATCTTAGCAGACCACAACAAAGGTAAGATGTGTGGACAATAAACTACAAGGGTAACTTTATAAATGGAGGGAAGGGAAATTTCTTGCGCAGTAAATTACCTCTTGCAGCAAGTTTTACAACTCTAATATTCTGGGACTATTCACATCTGGTTATAAGCCTACATGGCAGATCATGGAACGGCAGATCATGGAACAGCAGGTCATCTTTTCCTCACCTTTCAGTAGACGATTCATTCTGAAATAGTAAAACCTGTTTAGTAAAAGTAACCTCAGTGCAACCAGCAAGCTGTATACAGTGACTGGCCACACTGAGCAGGTGCAAATGCCACATTTTATTGCTTGCCAAAGAAGCTACCAAAAGAAGCTGGAACTGTGCAAAAGACTTCTAATACAAAATATATTACTGAGTGTTAAAAAACCTTTTTGTTCTTCATACGAGGATCTCCACAGTTTTAATTTGTATGAAATATGTGGAGCAATGAATAGAAAGAGAGAATTTTAAAAACTAAAATGATATTGCACGCTTTATGTAAAACACTACTAATGTCTGATATTGGCATGTTTTGATGCCAAGCTTTCTGAAGAGCTAACCACAAGAATAGTTAAGATGCGAGGAGTACTCTGTGGTTTTCCTGTTGTCTGCACTTCTGAATTAACCCCTGGGATAAAAAAAAAAAGTAGTATTTTAGCACTGGAGGTTTCTGAAGGAGACAGTTCTTCCAATGAACTTGGAGCATGCTCCATACCTCCTCTTTTGGGCCTGTTACTAGATATAAACAATCTTAATCTTCTCCAGGCTCAAAATGGGTGAATTCCCATGGGCAAGAAGTCCAGCAAAGTGGGCAGGAAACCTGCATGGATGAGCAAGGAACTCCTGGCAAAACTCCAACAGAAGAAGGAAGTCTACAGAATGTGGAAAAGGGGACAGGCCACTTGGGAGGAATACAGGGACGTTGTCAGAGTGTGCAGGGATGTGAGGAGGAAGGCTAAGGCCCAGTTGGAATTAAATCTGGCAAGGGATGTCAAGGACAACAAGAAGGGCTTCTTCAAATACATCAATTCTTTATGGTTTTGTTTCACATGGGCCTGCTGTTGCACGGGGTGGGTGTCCTGGTAAAGAAGGATACAGAGCAGGCAGAGTTATTGAATGCTGCCTTTGCTTCCGTCTTCACTGCTAAGGCCAGTCCTCAGGAATTCCAGACCCTGGGGACAAGAGAGGAAGTCTGGAGAAAGGAAGACCTTCCCTTGGTCGAGGAGGATCAGGTTGGAGATCATTTAGGCAAACAAATCCATGGGCCCCGATGGTATGCACCCACGAGTGCCGAGGGAGCTGGCAGATGTCATCGCTAGGCCACTCTCCATCATCTTGGAAAGGTCCTGGAGATCAGGAGAGGTGCCTGAGGACTGGAAGAAAGCCAATGTCACCCCAGCCTTCAAAAAGGGCAAGAAGGAGAACCCAGGAA